ATCAAACTAACAATCCCACTCTTCTATTACGCTGGGTATGATATTTAAAAAATTATCAAAATTTTGGTAGGTAACTTCTAAGGCTGTGCTTGTTTATCACATATCTAACAAAAAAAGTACGTGATACGTCGAAAAATGTGCGTATTTTATATATTTAATACTGTATTTTTATGTGCTTAATTTATTCGCACTTTATATATTTTTCGACTTATTTATTATTTGATGGATTTATTTGCATTGATTATTTTATATTTATTTTCAGCATATTAGCGTATTTGTGGACGTGAAGCAGTTGATGAGAGTTCACGTGAGCGATAATCGAGGCGCCCCAATACATGAAAATTTGAGCCCAATGGTGAAGTTGATTAAAAGAAGCCCAAGAGGACATTATTTATTAAGCCCTTTCATTATTAATGGTTGTTGGGCTAATTTATGCTTAATTGCCCAAAGATGATGAAAGTGACATGTTGGGCTTGAGTTAAATGGAATTGGCAAAGAGGAGCTTGATTTTGGGCAGCCACGGAAGAGTTAGTTCAGAGAGGATTTAATTGACTAGTCTTGGACTTGAGTAGGACTCATTTTGAGGGAAGCAACATTACTCACGGAATTTAAAATTGGAACATAATTATTTTTTACGAGAGGGATTTATTTTTACGCCACTCACAAGATAGAAGGCCGAACCAGCAACAGGGACAAAAAGAAAATTCACAGATCGTGAAAGAGGCTACACACGCGGAGGGAAGCCGCACTCGCACACAAGGGGAGAATATTATTTTCTTCTCTTTTATCTTTTATTTATTTTAGTAGCATGTTAGGCTAGTTTTTTTATCCAGTTTGAGGGAATGTTTGAACCCTAATTCCGATTTGTCTATGAATTGGATGATCTTTATTTATCGTTAATTAATCGAGACTCCGTATTTATTTTTGTTGATGAGTTGATTCATGTTATCTATATTTAATGTTTATAAATTATGGTGTTTGATTTAGTCTGGCCAACTACGTCGAATGTTCATGGTTTAATTGCTAGATTCGAGGCTTTAATCCGTAATTGTTATTGTCTCGTTTCGTTAATAGTAAACTAGGGGTCGTGCATCTCTAGGGTACCATGAGCATAAGTTAAATGGTCCGAACTTGTGCGTCCATTGCTTAGACTGATCTATTTTTCTAGGAATTAATGCTGCTAGTGTATTAAATCTAGAGAGCTTATTCTAGGTTGTCCGCTAGTTAGGTTTAGTCGAAGAGCTTATTTCGATTAAATATTCGGTAAGGGAAAATTCGGTTAACAGAGCTTGTTGTTAGCTAGGGTCGGTAATTCATTAGCAATTTAAAGAAAGCGTCGAAATTAATTAACGGTAGATTTAGATTGGGTGATAACTGAACCGAAAACTGGACTTCTCTTATTTTATTTGATTTTTATTTTATTTTCTTATTTTTATTTTTATTTTTATAAAACCAATCCCCCCCCATCTTTTATTGCTTTCCTAGTTAATTCAATTAATACGAGATTGTCACAATTTAATTCCTACTCCTCGTGGGATCGACCCTTACTCGCCACTACTACTAGTTAGTAGAGGTTTGTTGAGGAAAAATTATAAATTTAAATTTGCCGCGTCGCGACGCGCGGTCAGTACGAAAAAAATTTATCTCTATTCAAATTCCACCCCTCTAAACCATAGTAAAAAGACCCTTAAGGAGTAAATTCCTAGATCTAAGATGTGAACAAAATTATACCCATAAGACCTATAATTCAATTTTAATATTTACATCATTGTCCTCAATATTATCAATATAGTTAAATAATATGATTCAATTATTCTTACACTTCACATCAATTTTAATTCACTATTTCTCCACTCACATAATTTTAACTATCTATCATTTTCAATCATTTATTTTCTACTTTTACATCAAATCAATTTTAATTATTTTATTTTAAATATTATTTCATACATTCTTAAATTCTCACTAACAACTAACCATACTAACTTTTTTCAAATAAACACTAGTTAATACAAAAAAACTATAAAAACTCAATTTTTTTATAAACAACCACGGCCTAAATGCTAATGGCCACATATTCTAATTAATAAAACAATAAAATAGAACATAAGAAGCTAATAGTCCCCTTTCTTTGTGTTCTCGGTGAGTATGATATTTAAAAAGCCACAAAATTTTGAGTCGTGGCATTCAAAAATCTAGTTCTAATCGATGGAACTAATTAGAATAAAATAATTAGTAATCACGGGCCTAGCTTTGTTTTGACCTCCTCCAATGTATTCTCATGAATTTGGCCAAAAAAAAAAAGGGCAAAGAAAGTTTGGGCTTAATTTTCATCAAAATGATTAATGTCGTGCCCACATTCTTCTAAGCGTGGGAGAACATACACTCATTGTATATGGAACTTTTGCTTTCTTTTGCAAGGCATTTTGGCCCTCTTTCTTCCATCCACTAATGAAATAGAAAACAACCACTAAAATGTGATTTAAAATTTTAATATTTTTTATTAGAACAATTATTATATAGATTCAATTGCTAAACAATCATAAATTTTCAAGGACAAATATTTTTTGTGTGATGAGGCCTTAATCATTAGATTAGTTGACTCCTCATACTTTTTTTTAATTAAGAAAATGCATACTTATGCAATGAAATATCATTCTTTTATTTATAGGAGCAGTACCTTTTTTTTAGAATATGATCTGTTAGTTTGATAAAGTATGCATAATTTTTAAAAAAGTGTAATTATATATCTAATAGTTTAACTCGTCTTAAAGCAGTATCACTTTAAATAACAACAACAAAATATGACATTTCACTATGCCATTTTTTGTTAAGAAAATTTAAGGATTAACCCATTTAACAATAAAATTTTGTCTTCTTTCTTTTTTATTATTCAACAACAACAACAACATACCCAGTATATTCCCAACAGATTGGGGTCTGGAGGGTCAGTTGTACGCAGACCTTACCCTTGTAATTATACAAGGAGGCTGTTTCCGTAGCGACCCAAGGTGCATTGCGCCATTTGATATATTTTTTTTTCTAGAAACTTCACTAATAGAAGAAGCACTAGAATTTAATTGAGCCATTTTGATCTAGTCCATTATTAGCACTATGTCAGGAGAATTGTCAACAATGACTCTTCCAGCTCCATTTGCAATGGACAACTTTCTTTTTTATTATTAATCTTTGTTTTTTGTTGGTTACAGAGCACAAGATGGTTTAAAGCCTAACCTTTACCAGATGGCAAATACTGTTTAGATATAATATATATTACAGATAATAACTCATGTAACACATTTTGAAAAATTCATTTTGATTGTTGTTGTATATATAGCTCGTATTATCTTATTAGATGTAATTACTTCAAATTATAGGTAGAATCATAGGGTTTTACAATAACTAAACAAACCTTCAATATTAAAATGAAATGGAAAAATGTATTCAACATAAATAAAAACATGACTCGCCCATTTTTGTGTTGTATGTTGGAGTCATAATCATGGGGTTATTTAATATTGCTGTAGTGATATCTTCTAATGATAATGATGTTGGGTTATCAGTACTCATGACATGACACATACTGAAAACTATATATTAAAAAAAATGGCTCCCTTTCTTTTGGGGTAGGTTAATGTTGGTGGAATTAATGTGGATTATTTAATTGTGATTAGTATGAATAAATGCTTAACACAAATTCTTATATGAGAAAACTTAATTGTTAGGCAGATCGACTTATCATATTTTTAACAAATGTGTACATTATTACTATGAAATGTTATATTTTCATTCATGATTTTAGGGTATAGTATTTCAATTTGAAAATATGTATAAAAAAATACATCCACTTAATAGCTAATGCTAAGGAGCCAACTATTGGCTCCGTTACGGGGCCAACAGTTAATGGGACGGCTCTATGTGGGACTGTCCCACATGAGAGCTATGTGGGACAGCCCCACATGGAGCTGTCTCATTGGTTGTTGGCTCCTTAGCATTACTGTAGCTAAAATCACCTATTTATATTTATGCAGTTACAGTAAATACATATTAATGAAATCCAAATTGCAATTTAAATGGTAATTAATATTATGAGTAAGTCTGAGTTTCACCTCACCTTTTTCACGTGTAATGTTACTACCAAGTTACCAACTAACTAATGATGGTAATAATGTGGGATATTTTAGTCATTTTACATTTTTTTAATAAATTTGAATACATTATAAGTCATTATTATACATGTTATTACAACAAAAAAACACTATCAATCACTATTACTAAAGATTTTATTGTTTTATATTTGATTAAAAATTTATTTAAATTTCTATCTTGTACTCAATTACAAATTTTAAAACTATCTATTTTTATTTTTAATAGCATTTTTCAGAACAATATAAATAAAATCTTATGCCAAATTGCCGCCAAAATATCCATCGAATATCCCTCCTAACCGCCAAAACTATAGATACATGACATATATATATCCGCATTTTCACGCAGTGCACACACTAATTCTGTGATTCAAAATATTCAATAGATAATTACACACACAGATATTTACCTCGTCGAGGCCGTTAGGCGAGGCCGGCGACTTGGCATCGGCGGCCGCCGCCCCATCGCCGCCACTATCCCCGGCCGGAACAAGCTGCGGGGGAATTTCAACGGAGGCGCGTGGCTTGTCGGCGCCTGAGCCGGCGTTCGTCTCCACTGCCGTTTGCGGCCCCATTGGTGCTGAGGATCGATCGGAATCGAGAATTTAATGCCTAAATTGAGATGAGAAAGGAAAATGAGTTGTGAGGAGGGATAATAGAGTCTGTATGTATATATATACACGCGCGAAGCTCATTAACTGTATAATCTGTTTTGGGGGATTTTCGTTATTTATTTATTTTTTTATGTTTGTGAAAGAATAAAATGGTTATAATAAGTGGAAATGATGAAGGGGTTAGAGGGCGGTGAAAAGTAAAAGAAATATACGATATGATTTGTATGAAGGTCATGAAAGAGATGTGAGCGTGAGGGCGTGCATGTATATAGACACAAGATTTCCTGTTAATTATTTTTTTTATATATATATTACTTTCTCCTATTCATAATAAGTGTCGTTTTAGGAAGTTGCATAATAATTAAGAATAATTTTTTTGTCAATAATAACTTTCATTAATGAAGATAGAGATTGATGTTTTAAAAGAAATGATAAAGAGAATATGAAAAGACGTAGTGTATTTATTAACTAAATGAGGGTAATAATAGAAAAATATGTACAAAAGATCCAAAACGACATTTATTTTGGTTAATAGTTGATAAAGCCAAAATGACATTTAAAAGAATAGGAGGTAGTATATTTTAAGAAAATGAATAAGTATATGAACATAACCTTGAATACTAGTCAATCTAAAACATAACAAGCATTTGTGTTTCAGTAATAAATTGAGGATTAATTTTCATGGTTAGTGATGAACTGGTTATTATCCACTTAGTTCGACCTTGATTAATCAATATAACAAAATGAATTTTATTTTTTAGTTAAATTTGTAATATTTGAAAAATTCCAATAAAATTAGTAAAATGAGTTTTGCTTGAATTTGGCGAGGGTAGAATTTTTCATTTACGAGAGTGCCCACCTAGAGGTAGTGGAATTGTTGATTAGAAGTTTCCTGCAGAAGAAAAATGTGCAAAGAAATATTTACAAAGTTGAGCACGCGTGTATTAATTTAATTATTGCCACGAACCACGAAAGGGGAAAAAAAGGATAAAACAGAGAGAAAATGACACTTTAATTATTACTATTAACTAAAATAATGGCTTTGTCCTTTTTGACTAACCATATTTTTATGCATGCAATGCAAATATCATAGTTCATTGCCCAAGAAAAATCGCACAAAGAGTCTGTTACTAATGGACTAAGTTTTAGATCACAATTCGCAGGCCCATATTTCCAATAGAACATGGCCGGGAGTAGCCCAATTCTACAACTGCTAAACTAACGGGCTGCTGATGAGCTCAGCTCGTTATTAAAGATTGAACTCAACTTAACTTGTTTGATAAAGAACTGAACTTAAGCTTTAGCTCATTTAGTTTACGGCGGCTCTGCTCATTAAGACTTGAAGTATGAATTTTATGTAGTTTATTATAGCTTTGCCTGTCAAAGATCGAATTTAACTCGGTAAGGCTTGAGAACTCGAGCTATAGTATCAAGATGTTGAGCTCAACTTGTTTATACTCCTATTTATATGGTCACATCTAACATTTAAGAATAATTTTAAAAATTATTTTCTATATGTGGTTAAAACTTGAAAGTGTCCATGAAAACTATAGTCAATAGAAAAAAAAAATTGTGATTTATAAATCACTATGTTTTTTCATTGTCTTTTTGTAAGAGACTTACATTAAAACCATTGAAATCAAATCGAATTTGTAAAAGGAAAATGACTATTTGGTGTGTGCACCAAATTATTTTGCATCCAATTCCTATCAAAATTATTATTCTGCAAATTAGACCTTTCAATTTCAAGAGTTGATAAGTTGTACCGAAATGGCGAAATTGAGACAAACAAAACCAGTCAAATGGGGACTAAATTGACAACGTGTTAACCATAAAGGACTATTTTGAGCATCGAGTGCAAAGTTCGGAACCATTTTCGCAAATTTCCTCTTAAATTCACATCCAACGGTGAGAATCGCTCGTCGCAAAATCTTGCTCAATAATAAGGGAATAATACAACTAAAATATTTTCCTCTGTAAACTCCGTCTCTCAGTAGCTAGCGTGCTGCCATTGTTACACAGATCAGAAAATATCCCCGGAAACGAAGAAGAGCGAGAAGAACAAATGGGCTTGAAGGTACAATATCTATTTCAAAGAACCCTTAATTTTTTATTTTTTTATTCAAATTTTCGTTTGTTTGCTCCTTTTGCTGGGGTCGATATTGATGATATAATGCGTGGGGGCGATCTTGATTATTTGTCGTGATCTGCGGTGAAAATTGCGTTACTTCTGTGTAAAATTGTTTTTATTCATGGACAGTGGAATAAAGTTTAGATTTTTATTAATATCTGTTAATCTGGATTTAGTCATATGATAAAGTTGAGATTTTTATTGTTATTTCTTTGTCTCTTGGATTTGTTTGTCTGTTACTATTTTAGAACAACATAAAATGGCTTTTATTTTTTTTGGGTAGATAACTTTTAGTGAGATCCTAAGATAAGATTTTTTATAAATCCAGTGTACCTAGAAATTGTGGAGTTTTGATCTGAACTTCAATCCTTTTTACCGTTTTGTATGATAAATCTAATGTTTGTCTAATACAATGTCTAATCTTAAATTAATTTGGAACATTTGCTTGAGTTGTTTTAGTATCATAGGATTATTACTATATAACCTGGATGAACATTTAGACTTTGAGCTTTGAACTTGAAAGAAAAACCAAAAAAAAAAAAAAAACTTGTGATTTGTTCCAGGAAGAATTTGATGAGTATGCAGAGAAAGCAAAGACATTGCCAGAGAGTATCTCCAATGAGAATAAACTTATTCTCTACGGCCTTTACAAGCAATCGACTGTTGGAAACATCAACACAAGTTCGTATTTCGACTAATCGTAATTTGTATCGCATTTCATTTGAATTTTAGGTAACACACAATTGTTGTGAATTTTGCGCACGAACTAAGAAAAAATCCGTGCTTTCATCCTAGTTGGTTCAGTTTCGATGCCAATGGCTGATTAAACAATCTCATTAATTCAAAAGATGCCCTTAACTACTCAACTCTAACAACATAACTGACACTAAATTGAACTGAGAAATAGTCCAGTTGCGTTGATTTTACTAAACACTCTGTAACTGCAAAAAAAAAAAAAAA